CCATCCTCAAAGCATGTACTGACGTATCGACCTTGTCAGGCCTCTCTGCCATCGACGCCACCACGACGCCAGACAATGTCGACCTCCTGCGCGTGTCCATCGCCACACATCTGACGCCAAGCCTCCACTGCTCCATGCCACCAAGAACCGCCGCCATAAGTAGAAGATCTATCGGAAAGACAATATATTCATCTCTGTAGAGGCTGATGGCATAGTTTAAAAAGCCATCCAACAAAAGCTATATATATCATGCTGAGATTATAAAAATAGAGGTGTCGGTGTGTTAGTATCCTATAATGATTACACACATTGGCATGCCTTCATCAAGGGGATAGGAGTAGCAACGGTGTTGCGAAGATGGTGGCTTCGGGCTTATTGATGTATCACCTTGTATGGTCTTTGTGAATAATTAATAATATGGTTGCATGCATCGTTCAGATGCAGAGGCCGGGGGTATATCCTCCTTTTCTAAAAATAAATAAAAATAATGATTACACATAGAAGGTTGCGAGTTGCACATATATTGCCTACTGGGTGAATCCGAGAAATCAGTGTTTAGCCCGAGAGCATACCCGGGGCTGTCTAAGACGGCTGTGTCCACTATATTACCTAGACCGCTGATGACCATCGCGCTGCTGCAATAACCAAAATTGCAGCCTCTCAAACCTGAGCCGGAGGTGACGCTCCTGGTGGAGCAGCGCCATGGAAAGCATACTACGGTGCCGGTGGGATGACCAAAACTGTATCTTCTTGATTTTGAGGTTGGATGTGACACTCCCGGCAGAGTAGGACTTGGAAGGTCGGGGGACGGGATGATTTGAGGGAATGAGAATTCTGTACGTGGTTTCTAGAGGGATGATTTTTTTTTCTTCTGCTAGTCATTACCTACGTGTAGGTTGGGTCAGATTGTGTATTTTTTCCAGCAAGATTAATGCAACACAAATCGTAAGGTCAAGATAAATCAATTACATAGAATCGATGGTTGAAATATTCTTAATGATGTGGATTAATATGGGATATTTTTTCCAGCAAGATTAATGCAACACAAATCGTAAGGTCAAGATAAATCAATTACATAGAATCGATGGTTGAAATATTCTTAATGATGTGGATTAATATGGGAGTTTGTATGGTGCCTCCAATTAGTAAATAGAAGATAGAAGATAGATGATAGAAGATAGTTAGTTGGTTCAAGTTCTCCTTCTTGCAGTTTTGAAAGTTAGTTGGTTCAAGTTCTCCTTCTTGCACTCTTTTTTGAACTAATATAAGTTCAAGTGCTATCTATATCAACTTGAAAAAAATTGAATTCAAATTCAAATTATAAATTTCGTTCAAAATTTCATGGTAACCATGTTTACCAGTCCCCCTCGGTAAAAGTGGCCTATTCGGTAACCAAAACAGTGAACCTTGCCACCAAATCCGTTATTTGTGCATTGCAAACAAATGAGTTGTCCTCGCTGGATAAGAACCGATAAGGTCCTAGTATTATGTTCTTTCGAAGAAGAATCGTCGGCTATTGGCAAGAAGTAACGGCTTGTCAAAAGTTGATCTATAATTGCTCATATTGTTTAAGAAAACTTTGGCACTAGCTAGACTTTAAAATACTATTGTTTAAAATTATTTTGTCGCTGGACCCGTCGTTGTCCATGGCTCCGTCCACCATGAAGGCGGAGCCAATCGCCTCGGACGACGAGGACCAGAAGGCGCCACAGTTCACTGCTCGGTCTGACAACGAGTTCACGCAACAGAGGGAGGAGGTGCTGCGTTCCGCGTCCCCAATATGACACCCAGTGAAGCCCGGTCCACGATGCGGAGGCCAACTCTCTCGCCTCCACTACGGACTATGCTTTGGTGCCTTAAGGCATTTGTCTTTGTGCCTATGATATATGGGCCCAACATATAACTAGCTCATATGTCAATGACCCAAAGACAGATGCTGGCCTATATGTTAGTGATCTAAAGACAGGTGCCTTTAAGGCACCAAAGCTGTGTCCCTCCATTACTATATACCTCAAAAGGTGTCGGTGCTGACGTTGTGTTTTCGTCCAAATGCAAAGCTGGGAGCAGCATGGGGCTGTTAAATTCACTGTTCTGACCCTTTGGTCAAACTTTAGCACGATTTGACCCGTCCTAAAATCTTTCTCGGATTTGTTCCTTTTTTTCTATTGCCGTCGTCCATACTGGTAGGTTTTTGCTACCTACCGCCAAGGTCAATGTCCAAACGGTGCTGGTTGAGTGTGCGAAGCCTACCGCAGCGTTCACCAAGACCCAGGTGGCACTTGCTTGGGTACTCAGAGCATCGTGTCAAAAGACACGCGTGGGACGTTATCGTGCACTTTACCGGAGGCGGGAAACTAGCATGCGGGAAAAGGCAGCAGCTCGCACGCTAGATTTCGCGGACCACGTCTGGCGCGCCTATAAAATTGCAGCGTCCTCTACCACTCTATCGTCGCTCCCTTTACCGCTTTCTCTCCTCGCCGCTGACATGCCACCATGCCACCTCGGTGTCGGGGAGCTTTGGGCTACCACGGCATCCGCATGCGTCCGTCCGGCACCTACTCCATCGAGATTCGGCCGGGCGACGTGCACCTCAGCCTCGGAACCTTCGACACCGCCTAGGAGGGCGCCCGTGCGTACGATGCTGCGGCGTGGCGCCTCCGGCGGTCTCATTGGGAAAGGAACTTCACGGACGTGGCGACGCAGGAGCGGGCACAGGAGTTGGCGCCTCCCCCGCGGCTTCTCACCGACGAGGATCGTCGCGAGAACCGGAGGCGGGAGCGCCGTCTCAGCCTGGCCGAGATGGATGAGGAAGCCATGGCACTGTGGCGCTAACGCTTCCCGCAAGACATCATCAATGAGGAACAGTGCTTCGCCGAGAGGAGGACGGAGAGGGACGAGAGGAGGGAGGAGCGAGCCTCCTATCGCGAGGACAAGTGAACGCGGAAGGCGGTCGCTAAATTCAACATCGCGCTAGGAGATGCGTCGTCCTGGGACTCCAGCGACGAGCGGTTCCTTGACGCCTACCATCAGACGTCGGAGGAGGACATCACCGAGGCAGAGTTCGAGTCGGAGAATGACATGTAGTAGTAGTTTTTCGTTTTATCTATCTATTGTAGGAGAAGATTATGAACTATCTATACACTATTTTGTATCGTAGAAGTAGGCTATGTGACGAACTATCTCACATTTATACTACCGGAACCAAATGTGTATCGAATCGTAGTTCACATAATAGACGTCAAGAAAAAAAAGATGAAATATAGCGCGTCTGCTGGAACTAGCGCACCGCCGCGCGCAAAAGCTGGCCCATATGATGATGTATTCTGATATTTAGTGCATCGCGCATTGGACGGCTATTGGAGATGCTATCATGGAGGTCTATGTGCTTGATTTGTCCAAAACCACCGTCAAGTCGGACGCCCGCCGCTAGCATCAACTCAACTTGCTTATTTTGTTCGAATCTCGCGCGGACATCGGATGGCCCCTCTCTGTCCGGCCGGCTGTCCGTGGATATTCGTGGGCGAAAATTTGGTGATCCGGTTTGGAGACGCCCTAGCCCACGTATTGAAACACTACTATGTTGCACCCGGACTGGAACACGTGCGTATACGTACGTATGTGACCTCGATCTGTCTTGGTATAGATCTGAAGCGGGGAGTGACCGTTCGAAGCAGCCGGACTGGAACATTGTCAGCTACTCCCTCGATTCCATATTACTTGTCACTGATTTAGTATAAAGTTGTACTAAATCAGCGACGAGTAATATGAAACGAAAGGAGTACCATGCAGTCAATAGTACCACAGCCTACAACTCACGTGTTCTTTGGTCGTAGCAGCGTGCGGCATAATATTCCGGTTGCTTATATCCAGAGAGACTTTGGAGCACAGCAGTACACGCACGCACGTGTTCATATAACAGTCTTACTGAGCAAAAGTCGTATGCCTGCATTGACCGAAAACAGTGGAAGACACGAGATTGCAGAACCACAATAATTAACGAGAGTCAAAATGCGTGAAAAAACAAGGGTGAAACGTACACTGGAAGTTCAGATTCAGGTTCAGCTGCAAAATTTATAATAAAAAACTGAACGATAAATCAAAATATTTGACAACACAAATAAATGGCCAAGAACCTGGAAATTTGAATTTTTTTACTGTTTATTTAGTTTCGTAGTTTTTTCTCACTGTTTATTTACTGCTGTGTATAAAAAAAATATAGACCGAGGAAAATGATTCCATTGATTCATACGCGCATTCTTGCATGAATGTCACTTAATCCCTCTGTTCGCAAATATATGCGTATAAAATAAGTCAAAAGGTCAACAAAATACATGTTTGACCAAATATATAGTACTCCCTTCATTTCAAAATATAGTGCGTCCGCGCTTCCCGAGGTCCAACTTTGACCATAAATTTAACCAATGAGACCAACTGCGGCAGGAGAAAAAACTATATAATTAAAAACTTCTTTCGAATACGAATTCACTGATATAATTTTTGCTCCCGCCGCAATCGGTCTTGATAGTTAAATTTACGGTCAAAGTTGAAGCACGTGGATAGAGGAAGCACTACATTGTAGAATGGAGGGAGTAGGAAATATCAGTAATTATAATATATAAAAAATAAGTTTTGAAAATGTAACTAATGATGGATATATTGATATTGTGTATATTTATATTTTTGTATCTATGTTCGGCCAAACTAGAAAGGTATTGACTTTTTGACACAATTTATATGTCATCTATTTCGGGATGCAGTACCGAGATGCAACGCGAGCCAACGCTGCAGCAGACTTTAAAAAAAAAAAAACTGAAGCAGCTTTCAACGTAGGAAAAGTAGCCAGCGTGGGCTAAACGTTGCTAGAAATCATGGAATCCTGATCATAGACATAGATATATATATGCGAGCCAGGCCTCTCCGGCTAGCTACTATAATCTGGTTCCTTCACATAGCTTTAATCTGGAGGTGACTGACGTTAGTCCTGCTCCAAGAAGCTGGCGATGGCGTCCATGTTGACGGTGCATATGAATCAAGGACAAGGGGAAACAAGCTATGCTCGCAACTCCTTTGTTCAGGTATGTATATTTTTCCCTCCAGATTAACTCACTATGCTGTTGACACCTGGCTTCCATCGACAATTCCATCAGGAATTTCTTCACACACGCTTGGTAGCCACACTACTCATTATAATGTGCACATTTTCTGAAGAACTGCACCTTGATTTACAGAATGGTGAGCAGAAGAGGATGAAGCCACTGATAGAAGCGGCCATCGTTGATTTATGCCCCGGCACTAGCACCTTGTTGCCCACAAAGATGGTGATTGTCGACCTGGGCTGCTCCTCTGGTCCAAACGCGATAGCTCTAGTGTCGATTGCCGTTGAGGCCATCCACAATCACTGCCACCAGTTCCTACAGCCACCTCCTGAAGTGTCTGTGCTTCTCAACGACCTGCCTGACAACGACTTCAACATGGTGGTGAAGAACCTGGTCATGCTACGTCAAAGCAGCAACGACACCATTGTCATGGCCGGTGTCTTACCGGGGTCGTTTTACGAGAGGCTCTTCACTAGTGGTTCCTTGCATCTTGTCTTCTCGTCCAACAGCCTGCATTGGCTCTCAAAGGTGTGCGTTTAAAACTGCTCGTTGGATTGATCCATTGCTTTTTTGTTGATTTTGTATAAGCAAAACCTTATCTCTGCAGGCTCCTGAAGATCTAACAAAGAACCAGATCCCGGCATATGACATTGATGAGCATACCAGACTTGAAAGGCGCCCTATGGTCCTGCAGGCTTATGCACAGCAGTTCAGGAAAGATTTTACACGTTTCCTCGAGCTGAGGGCCAAAGAAATGATCCCAGGAGGCCGGATGGTTGTTTCCCTTGTAGGGAGGGATTCTGATGTAATCACCCCCGAATTCTCTCACCTCTGCGAATTCGTAGCTCAGATTCTAAGCGTCATGGTCTCAGAGGTACAATATTTTCTAGCATCGCATTTTCATAATTTAGTAACAAACGCTGAGTATTTGACCTCCAGATCTTTTGGTATGCTTTTGACAGGGTGTAATCGACAAAGCAAAGTTTGACTCTTTCTATTTGCCTGTGTATGAACCTTCCAACAAAGAGCTGAGGGAGATCATCCAAGATGAAGGCTCGTTTTCAATCACTGAGATGCAGGCGAACAATCCTTTTGTCGGTCTGGACAGCGCACTTATGGTCCCAAGCAGGTTTGCTAGTGTGACCAGAGCCATATTTGAGCCCATAATAGTCCTTCATTTTGGAGAAGTCATGGATGAATTCGTGAGGACCTTGGAGCGACGCTGGAGCTTGGAAGGCAGCTTGCAACTCGAACATGCCAAAAGCCCACGACCGATGCTGGCGGTATCCCTCAAGAAGGCATGACCAGGCACACCGGCGGTTACTCTAGTTTGTGGCGGTGCCATGAAGATAGAGAGTTCGGTGTCCTCACAGATTTGATATTTCGGATCTGATGAGTTTATGTTATTTTGTCACATGTTGCTTTTGTTGGTTTGATCTGTGTGTAGTTGGAATCTTTCCACGACATTTTGGTGATGTTTTTGTGATTCAACGACCTGCACTTCTAGGGAATCATCCCGGGCCCAAGCACACTCATCGCTCGCGACTTCCCATCTTTTTGGATGGCTGGCTCAAGGGCCTTTCAGACACCCTTATTGGTATTTGAGTCTGTGCATGTGAACGAGTAGCAGTAGCGTTGCTCCAATCTAATTGCAATCTCTTTACTGAAGTCAAGGCGGCATTTCATCTTGCAAAGATTGATACCACGGAGAAAATGTCTTCAAAATATTTTATTGTAATTCTTAGTCATGAGAGCTACTTTGTAATTCTTGAATCTCAGATCCAAAGCAATGTAGTACCTGTAATGGTTTTGAGAATGAATAAAGTTACATGTGTTTTTATCAAAAAAAGAAGTTAACCGATGTGTCTCCCTGCTTGCTTGATTTCTTCAAGATACACTGCATCTGATGAGAACCTCCAGTTGCCTTGTCTGTGGCATCCTAATGGTTGGTATGTTAATCTTATTACGCCTTAACAGGTTTCAAAGTAGGTGTGACGCATGCACAAGTGCAACAAGTGGCGTGCAATTAAGTTGGAAGAGGCCTCGAGGTAACTTTCAGGCCAGTCTTTGATGTGGCAGCGTCTCCATGGGTCCTTCAGGCCAAGCGCATCAACGGGGATTCTGCTTCTAGCTTTGTTTCATATCTGTTGTCTGTAGCTTGGCGACTGGAGGCATGAACGGTCTTCTAGTGCTATTGCCACTATTTTTGTTCTGCATGCCTGATAACGCGCCTCAACTATGTGCTTCATTTTTTTCTATTTAAAGATGAAGTATGTGGGGTGTTCCCTTGTTCTAGCTTTTTCGGCCCTTTTAATCACTGTTGAGTGTTGATGGTGTGTGACACGTGGCAGCACACCACGGATTAACAGGCAACCAGCTGGTTTGATATTGTAATGCCAAATGTTTGGGCAAACCTACTGGTTGGCTGCTAAATATGGCAACCTTAAAAAAAGTTCTCCATTCTTTTTGGTAAGTTTCAGTATTGCCGAATATTGGCTTGTGTAAAAACATTAGCTAACAATTTTTTGGCTGCAAGTCCAGCACTGCCCTAGATCTGCCGGGGATGTCTCGTGGCAGCCTTTTTATTGCCATTAAAGTCAATGTGGAGGACATGCTACGTCTAACATCTTCAGACTTAAGACTGCATTTGGTATCGTGCCATGGGTTATGATAATCTTTCTCCTTTGTAATTCGTCATTTGGACTTAAGACTTCTTTCGGCACCGTGTTGTGGATTATGATAATCCTATTATTATTTTCGAATTTGTCTTTCCACCAACCAATATTTTCTAGTTCCTTAGCAGAACATTTCTCAGGAACCACAATACAAATCTTAGGTCTGGTTCGCAAGGAGTTCCTCCTTCCCGTCAAAAGAAAAGGAGTGCTTGCTCTCTTGCAACCATGGTCAATAAATCGGGTCTAAAAGGCGCAAGGGTGTGGCCTTGTGAAAACAAATGAACACAAAAATTATGCGAGCACACAGCTGCTTATACACTCATCTACCACTACTTACATTACTTCTGCTTGTACAAATTATCACTGCAAATGATACACGGAGGTCAATTCTGTTTACCGAAAAAGGGTTTCCCCCCGTTTTGTATTACAAAGCCACAACATCGATACAACCAACGATAGGTGCTGGGGCGGAAGCAGCACACGCACGCCCAAAAGAAAAGAAAGAGAAAACACAAAAGGAAAAAAATGCCAACAACGGCGGATCAACGAAAACGAAGCTGACTCGCAACCGCTGTGCCCGCCGGAGAATTCCACCACACTCCTAGTACCACGAAATGCCGCATACCAAGTAACACCTTCAAGAAGGAACGCGACGACAACGACGCTGCTACCGGACATGGCCTAGGGTTTCCCCCGGTACACGAAGGGCCGTGGGAGGGATGGGGGATATCCGACGCCCTTTAGGAAGGCACGGCGGCGCCCACGGGCGTCACCGCGTTGGTGCCGAACAAGCCGACAAGGATTTCTCCCAACCTCCAATCAACCACGACCCCAGACGATCCATCGCGCTCCACCATACATGCCGTCCACCAATATGCGCCACCACGGACACGCAGTCACCATCGCCGTCTCATCGTGAGAAGCGAAGCGAGACCGGCGGGATCGAGAGGAGCCAGCCGGAAACGAGGAGCAGCAGGGTCAGCGGCCACGTGGGAGGGAACAACCTCCACCACCCTCGGCGGTGACCGACCGGACGTATTTCAGGAGCAAACCAGACACCCCTGCCCGGCCGAGCCCGAAGCGGGCTCGTGAAGCTCCCGTCGCTGCGCTGCAGTACACGCGCCACCGTCTCCGCCATCCCCAGCCCAAGCCACGCCTCCGTCCGCCGGAGATGACGCCGGAAAGCACATGCCAGGCCCACCCAGACCCAGATGGGGCCCAAAAGGGCCCAGATCTGGGCCGAAAGGGCGCCGCCGCCAGCCATCGCGCCGCCCCGCAGCCAAGCAGCCACGCCACCGCCACCTTGCCACTCGGAGCTGCGCCGCCTGCGAAGGCAAGCCGCCACCAGATCCGACGCCGACCTGGGTGCACCGCCGCCAGCGCCATCGCCCGAGCTACAACGCCGCGCGGGGAGGAAAAGAACGGGGCCGCCGCCACCGGCATCACGCGAGCCAGGCCTGGTGGCCTACGCCGGCGGCGGCGGGAGGGGAAAGGAGGAGGGGGGCCGCTCGGAGGGGCAGGGAAGGGGAGCCCCCGGTCGCCTCGTTCGGGGAGGCGACGCGGGGGGTACGGGGGTAGTGTTCTGGTTATGAGGATTCACTCAGGGGGTGGTTGGGTCAATTCTATTTCAAATAACACGCTCGAAAATAACTCTTGAGACATGCTTATCAACCATATGTTGCGGGCAATTAGCAGCGTAGTAGCAAGTTTTAACAACATCCATGAAGGTTTGCTTTATCTTGCTGTTATTAGTTGTATCATCACACCTCTGGAGATGATATTGGGCAAGTTCTTGCATGTCAGACTCAACTTTTTCATCAATGCGGTATATTATTGCCTGGTTTTTATCAGTGTCCTATAAATCACATCATTAGTTAAATGGTTATAAACATTTAAGCATGATAATAAAAATATAATTTGTCATCAATATTTCTCTGGCAAGTTGGGTGACCCATAGGCATTAGGATGAAAAGTATCTGTGGCGCCGCCAATGCTGATAGCTAGCCGGTGACACATATCACCCAAACTAGGGCTTAAAATACTTGAATCTAGAGAAATACACAAGATATGACCCTAAATAGTCATCATACTACATCGACAAAGAACAAAAGTCTAGTTAGACCAATTAAAACTATCTTGCTCCCTCCTCCCATGCCCTAATCTGAACTTCCAACAAAGAAGGTGGATCACGTCCGTATGGCTTAATATGAAATTACTTTCAGTTTAGAGGAGGATGGGAGATGTTAAGTTGTTAATCTTCTTTATCTATTTCCTACAGAAATTCTCGAATGCTTTCATTTGTATAAATACATAATTTTTATATGGTGGACGCAATAAAATAAAATTGGAAAGATAAAACTTACCAGACGTAACAAACCACACGGATACGCATTAGAAGTACAAGTTGTGCTTTGTTGTGACTTACTTTGATGTTGACTTATTCTACTATTTGCATGTATGTATGTAATGATTCTCAACTTATATAATTACTAAAAGTGTTCCATATGCACAGGGGGCGTTTCAAGGAAATAATATGTGCAGTTTAACAAATTTCCTCTCTTCCTTAAAAGGCATCCATCCTTATAACCACCTTATAGTCATTTATAATCTACGGGTTCATGTTTATAATTCTGTAGCTTCTCAATCTGCCAGGTCAATGTAAGCTAGGGCATCGAAATTATTAATTAAATGATTTGTATGGCAATATGAAGGGCTTGTTTATTACTGAAATTAGCAGAATACATAGATAAGTTATAAGCCAAAACCAGCATTAAACCATGCGTTACTGTATAGTTGTAGACCAACATAGGAAGTGTAAAAGAAAGCAAACATGTTATATGTTTGGCATATCAAATGAAAATTTAGATCTATTGTTGATTTTCTTAAGCTTGACATCATAAACAAACAAAATCATATAATTGATTTAGCATGTAGTCAACCAAAATCAAATCTAAAATATATTAACGCTGCATATTTCACATTACGTGAATACTCAAAAAAATTGAACACAAATGATGTCTGTTGATTCAACAAAGTACTAGGAGCAATACTTCATGTCCAACAACACAGAAAAATAAGTTAAGAACAATTGATTGTAATTTTCTATTTTTCTCAAAATCTATCTTGAAAGTTTGATGGTTAAAAAAGCATATCCCTTAAGTTTAAGAGTAGCTTGCAAGGCTTGACATGGAAGGTACATCCATTGCAGGTAACCCAAAAAGTAAAATTTACATCATTTTCTTTAGATAATGGAACCTTTTATAGCCCACAGCTGCTATGTCCTAAGATGCAAGTACCCAACCATATTACATTTCGGATTCATTTTAGAGGGAAATAATGTAACCATTCTGCTATCACACATGATGTGGCATGAATGTTATTAAATAGTAGGGGTTTACCTGAGAAAGTATCTGCTTATGGTGAAGATTGTGGCACCCTGGCTCAGAGAAACCGGAACGCCTCGTATTCCAGCCCAGAGATCGAGGAGAAGTCTTCTGGAATACAGCACTGCTTAGCATAGAACAAATCAGCTTTTTATTACAATCTATAAGGGTACAAAGGGATTACATCGGCACGGCGACACTACGCCTGCCACGGTTGCTCCATGCAAGCAGCAGAACAACACATCG